CAGCTCACAATTTGTATTCGACGCGCAATTTTCGCGAATTTCGCAATTATTAAAAATCATTGGGAATTCATTAAGAATAAATTGCTAGCTAAAAATAATGAAGCAAAAGCCAAAAGGGGTGAAAATCCACAAATTAAAATGTATGCGAATTAGCTACACCCTAACCAAGCAGCAAAATGTTAATAAACTATGAGCAGAGTAAAGACTTTACTTTGTGCATGAGATTATGTTAATAGAAAAGCAGAGACGAGAGAGAGGGACAGCGAGAGAGGGAGATAGAGTGACTGTGTCTAGGCAAGCTGCATGCCTAAGTGCTGATGCCACAGGCAAGAAAAAGAGAGAAAAGGAACAGAAATTGTGAAAGAAAATATATAAAATGAAGGGAGGAGATATTAAAAAAAAAAAATGTTGTTTACCTTTTAGCGGCATTCGCGGCGACAAAATGAAATCAAAACACGAGCTGTTCGCCTAGTTCAAACACCTCGGGCCAGAGCCCAGCACCCCAAGTTCTTGTTATGACCTTATAGCATAGACTGCCAGCCTGCCACGCCCCCGAGGCTGGCTCATTGCCTGGTGTTATGCTAAATTTAAAGCATGTTGCGGCTGAGATTAGAATAAAGATGCGGCGCGTGTTGCGACTGGCAGTGCGACATGTTCGCAGTTGCGACCGAGCAGTGGGCCCCTTGCTACACGCACACACACGCACACACACACACACACATTGGCATATACACTTATATCTATATGTAGGGCCAACATCTGGCGTGGCACATCACACGCGTGCGCGCTTTAATTAGCTGCTAGGAGCAGGCCGTGCGAGAGAGGGGATTTTGCTTAGACGCTGTTGCATGCTGATGTCAAATGCATTTCGTGGACAAGTAATGTGCCAACTACACACACACACACACACACACACACACTGCATATATAGAGAGAGAGAGGGAGAAAGATAGAGAGCGAGTGTGTTTACTTAAGTTGCCCGCCCAGAAAATCTGCTGTTGTTGTTGTTGTTGTGACACTGTTTAGATTGCGCCATTTGAAATTGTCGAGATGCTAAACCAAATGTTGATAATCCCAAATTGCAGATACGCATGCAAATCGAATGACCGCACGAACCACACGAACCACTCGGACCACACCACAAATCAAACACAATTGCCCAAAATGACAAGTTCAAAATTAAGCAAACACTCGCCTCGATTTAAGCAACTGCCGAGCTTGAGTAACTAGCTGCAGTTGTTTACCCAATATATCTTGAGTTATATTTCTATAATCAATACACTCTCTGCATATTTTTGGATAGACGGAAATCGTAGGCCAAACAGCCAAATCAGTAATAATTATGTCAATGTTAGTTTACTTAATAATATGCTCTTAGCAAAAATCAATAAGTTTAAAATTGTATTAAAAATGAATTGTGAAAGTTAAAATTTTAATTTACTTTAATGAGATGTAGGATTTGTTCTTATTTAAGTTAGTTTAATTTTTTTTTTTATAGGTAAACAACTTTTAATGCAAACTAATATTGTAACAAATGGTATTTAAATTTATTTTAAGCATAAAACACTTCACATTAAATACTTATCTAATCAAGAGGGCAAATGTTTAAATTACATATTTCACAAATTATATTTCTAAAATTTATAAATTAAACACAAAAGAAAATTTTCCTTTATTTTATATATATATTTATTTATTTTTATTATGTTCTTATATGTTTTAATATCAGCAAAAAAAAATAAAATAAAATAAAATAATTTAAGAAGAACGTAAAATTAAAATGATGGCAAATAAAAAAAATAATAATAATAATAAAGAAGAAAAAAAAAATAAATAAAAATATAAAATAAATAAATAAAAATAATAACGTTAAATAATTTATAAAACATGCCTTAATTTCTATTTTATTATATGTATTTGCTCTAAATTGTCAATAAATAAATAAGTATATATAGTATATATTTATTTATCTATCAAATTAGGCAAGTATAATCAAATTAGGCTGAGCTCGAAGCTGTGCTTATATAAGTTTTATTTGTAGTTCAACCAGTATCATATCATATCTATTCTATATTTCCACTTATTGCTTTTCAACTGAACTAATCAACTAATGATGCTAAGGCATTTGTGTTTGTAGATATCTTACTTACAGCACTCATAGTTAAGTTAAATAATGAAACTAAAGATTAAATTTAAATTCCTAAATTTAAATTCCTAAAAGCGAAAATACCCATCAGAACAGTTTGGCACACAGAATTTTCCAATTGAACCCCAATTCAGCTTTATATGATGTCTCAATAAATCACTCGCACTTTCAACCCGAACTATCGATTACTACCAGTCTGCCAGCTCTGCTCTGGATGGCATCGATATCTGCTCTTCAGATTGTCACAATGATGGAAGATTCAGCCGCAAATGAAATTTTTGTTGGGCTAAGCTGCAGCACAGAATGCTTGGACCACAGACTCAAACTCAGCTCAGTTCAATGAAATAGAAGCGAGTCTTAGCCTGGTCAGGAGGTGGTTAGCTGCATTTCACTTTTTGGACTGAGGGAAATTGCAATGAGCTGCCACCCAAAAAGCGAATGCATTAATCAAACTCACAGGAGGTGTGGCACGTGCATATATGCTCAAGCATTGATTGGGATCAAATTAATAACCATTTCATCATCATCAAAACTTGCCGTTGAGTGGCCAACACTTCATCTATAGCAGACAAATGGAAACCAGGCGCGCTTGCAGCTCTGCTAATAATGCATTTCAATCATTTTTGGGCCAAGAGAAATTGCAGTCCCTCAATGCTAGCGAATTAATCAAAATATCCTTTGAATTCAGCCAAAAAGGTGTGGAATATGCATATCTCAAGCCTTGATTGGTATAAAATTAATATAATTTCAAATGCTTGGCCAATGCAAACAATCAGCTGGCTCACACATACACAGACACACACACTCACACAGTGCCAAGTGCCATTCCAGCATCCTTTTTTTTTTAATGGCCCTACGTCCTTGGCAGACAGCGAACAATAAAAATGGAGGCCAGGCTTATTGTAAAGCAGCCAAAATCAGAAACAGAATCGGAATCAGAAACAGAATTAGGATTGCAGCCGGATTCGAGTTGCGACTGTTGCAATTTTGACTTCGCCACAGCCTAGGTTTAATTGTCCGTGAAGGATTTATTTGCTGGAAATTATGATTTATAAGTTCAGCAGCCAGTTGCACTTACAGCTAACACACACACTCACACACACACACACAACGTATCAGTCGATTCTCAGTTTGTCTATTCCCATCTCTCTCACTATCTCTCTCTCTCTCTCTCTTTGGCTTTGTCTGTGGGCCAATTCCTTTTATTGTTTCTGGGCATTGACCTCGTTTCAACAGTGGGTCATAGGTTAGTGCGGCTGCTCTTCCTGTTCGCCTGAATGGCTCAAGAAAAATGACTGGCATAAAACAAAAATTGAATTGAATTACGTTATGCTTTTAGCCACAGGTGAGGATAGTTCCATTGCAGATTCGAATAGTGAAAACTAAGCAAAAACTAACTAGTTACCCATTTGCAGCTGCAGCTTCATCTGGCACCGTCATAAATACCAAACACAAATAACTTTGCGGCAGAGGAAAAGTGCTGCTAACGACTATTCTGAAATTTATGTTGTGGAAATGGGGAAGTAAACTTCTTTAGGTGATATATTTTTACAATTCTTTTAGGGTAAGTCTCAAAATCGCATTCAGAAAACTTAAAACCTGCAATGCTTAGAATATTAACAGTAATTAAATTTAAATTCATTGTTGCCATCTGTTGTTAAACAATGGAACTACTGACTATTCAAAGCTTTTTTCATTACTTGAAACCAAAGGAATTTTTTTTAAACTTTTGTGTAATACTTTTGAAATATTTAGAAATTGCCTTAGTCAGCATTCAGTTATAGTCAGTTCGCAAAATTCTGTTCATGAACCTTGGATAGCTTTTAAAGGACTTTCATAAAAACTTTTTTACGTAAATTTATCCGCAACTTTTACTAGAAACTTTTATCCAGCTTTAGATTCCATCAACCTTAAGAGATATTCAAGGTTTGTGTCACGGATTCTGACAAGCTGTCCTTAAATTATTATTAATAAGCTTTTGAAAGCAATTAGTCGTGTCAGTTTGCAGCTTAGCAAATACCCGAACCATTTTTTTACTGGTTCGCAAATTGAAAGAATAAATTGGATTATTATTCTTAATGTCCCTCGGTATGTACTTCTCTCCGTACGAAATCAAGCCACTGCGTTGTGGATACTCTAGTCTGATGAAAAAATACTAATAAACTGGAATGTGCCTGACCGGGTACAACATTACGTTCCGCAGCTATCATGCAAGAAACCTATAAGAATTGGACAGCTACATTTTCGTAGAATTTGCCTTTTGAGTTTGAAAAATTAATTCTACAGTGCACAAGTAATACGAAGGCTTACCGTAACTCTAACTTAATTGTATAGTACATCATAAAATTATAAATAAATTTCTCTTAACTTTTTTCTTATTTACACTCACTCATTTATTTATTAATAAGTTAGAGCTATTATCAAATAAAAGCTAACTTATTATTATTATTATTATAAATTTAAATTATTATTAATATTTGTTTCTATTACTTCACAATTTTCCCAACGTCATAAAAGAATTTCGAAAATTTGTTAGTTGGGGAAATCAAAGCTGCAAATATCCCAGTTTTCAAGTGTACAAAAGTACCTTGCCCACACACATTTCCCCTGCAACAGCAACCGGCAGGGAATTTCTCTCGCTCGCTCTCTCTCTCTCTCTCGCAGCAGATGCTCTTCACAGTAAACAGTATGCTCTCAGGCAACGCAATGCTGTAGTTCGGGAAACGGCCGTTTGGCGCTGCTGTGTGCCTATTTCGAACTTGACAACTTCGTGTGCCATTCGTAGCTAACGGTACATGCCCGAAACGGGCTGCAACGAAGCGCTCAATTGTGGCAGCGCCCGTTTTAGGCGAATTTTCGTGTCAGTTCACGTTCGATATTTGTGTTGTTTGGTCGCGGCTAACGGGGCGCACGAAAACAAAACCGAATCGAAGCAGCGCAACGGAACGGAACGAGCGACGCGTCGCGCTTTCTCCATTAATGAAACATCCGCAACAATGACTCCGCGCGTATGTGAGTGTGCCAGTGTGTGAGTGTGCACATGTAGATGAGGCGTAGGCACTTCCAGTTGTTGCACTAAACATAAACAGCAGCAACAATTCAAATTTGACCACAGCAAAAACAACAACAATAACAACAACAGCGAACGGAAGTCAACGGCAGCCGCAGCCAAGTTTAAGTGTTTGCCAAGATTGCGATTTGCGTGTGTGTCTGTGTGTGAGTGTGAGTGTGTGCGTGTGTGTTCGCGTGTGTTTTTTTGTGTAGCATACGTCACGGGCGCCATCAAGTCGCAACTTGCTAAGAGACGCTGCCTACGGCCAGGCAGCCGCCAATAAAAAAATAAAAAAAAGTTAAAGGCAAAAATATATATAAAAAATTTGAGCTAAATACAAAAAGCCAACCGAAAGTTTTCAAGTTTCAAGTGCGCTAAATTCCATGTGTTGTGCCAGCGAAATACAGAACTAGCTGAAAAGCCGGGATTCTTCTCCGAAACGGTAATTGAGTCATAAATCATACATAATTAAATTGGGAAACACTTCAATTTCTGGGAATGATTTGGCAGAGACTAACAATTGGATTCTTACCTTGAATTCTGGATAGAAATTATGACCAGCCTATGGGTCACACTGATTGACACCTGCCGCGGCGCGAGACCCTTTAAAACATTTGCCAAATTGGCAATTTCTAGCTAGCTGGTTGGCTGTCATGTTTTGGGCCATTTGCCACATTGTTGACAGCGGCAACAGCACAATTAGCCCACAAGTCGCTCTTTGACCCCATCTGACTGCGGGCTCTGCCAATCTGTGCTTGGCCTCAAGTGTTTTGTGTGCGTGCTTTTTGTGAGCTGCATTGTTCTCTGGCCTCCATGATGCGGCTTGACACGATAAACATTTTTCGAGCTGTATTTGGGTTATTTCCAGCAACAAAATTGGCATCTGTTTTGAAAATCAACATTCTTCTCAGAACGGTTATAAATTGAACCAGAAAGGTAAATAAATACAACTGGACGAAGGTATCTCCTATGTCGAAAACTCTGACTTCACTCGCCACTCGAGTCTGTTTCGCATAAACGCCCTAAAATTCATGTTGTGTTTTTGTTGTGTGTGATAAAAACGAAATTTTCCAGGAATGCGAAAAGCAAATTGCTGTCATGATGCCGAAATTACTGAACAGCCATTGTAAATCAAGATAAGCTTAACTCTCTGCTTTTTTTTTTTTTTTGAATCAGTTTACTGTTGTGGATATTCAATGATGAATATTTCTTAAAATTACTGTATAGAAATTTTTGTAAATTTAAAGAGTGTCGAACCATTTTTTTTTTTTTTTTATAATATACAAATAAATAAATACCAAAAATAATAATATAACAATTAATTGTTTTCATTTATTTTACTTCCCATATGTTTTTATTTATTTTATAAATAACAAAAATAATAATATAAAAAATATAAAATTATAGAGAACAATATTTTAGATTGAATTGTGGTGTTTACATTTTTAATTATATCTGATTTTTATTTTATTTATTTCATAGAGAACAAAAAATATAATTATATAATATATATATATTTTATAATATAACAATTACATTTGTTTTAGTAAGAGAGTTAGTGATAATTGTTTCGTTCGCTTAAAATAAAATTTTAATTATTTTATTTTATTTTATTTTTTTTTTTTTTTTTTACAGATATAAATAAATCTTAAAATTTTGGAAAAAAAAATATTCCTAGCCTCACACCATATCAATCATATCGCATGTAACTTGATGTTGAGAGGGAAAGCTGTATATAAAAACACAAACATTTGAGATATTTAAATATATAAAAAATCATTTATTTATGTTACAAAAAATAAAATAGTAAAAAAGGAAATAAACGACAGCAAAATTTGCAAAATATTTCTAGTGATCTGTATTGTCTGAGTAGACAGTGTTGCCAATTTAGCAAAAATATATTTAAATATATTTCCAATTTTACGAATATATTTTCTCCCATTTTGTCATCTGAACAGCAGGCTGCAATATCGATTGCATCTATTTTGACAACATTTAACCACTTTTAGGCTTCTCTTACCCACAAATCAACCTATTTTTGAGGTCAACATCGTCAGTTTGCGTACGTAGATCTGTTTTCAAAATGAGTCGCTATAAGCAAGAAAGGACAAAATGAAATTGAACTTATATTTAGGTCTACATGGAAATACAACAATGAAGCTTATAAATGCGTAAAATATGAGACATTGTTAGCTGCTCTGCATTTGTTTACTTGCCAAATATTGTGAATTGTTTACTATTTGCTGTTTCCAATTAATTTTTGGGCCACCCTCCTACACGCATATCAACCGAGAGCATCAATTGAGTGCTCTTAATTTTCTTGTAGACTTGTCCCATCAGTCGACGTGACGCACTCGACTTTTAATTAAATATTTATTTTTATGTGGAGACATTAGCAGGTCAAGCAGGTCTGCCGCAGGGCAGGTGCTGGCATCGCGGGCAGGGGGAGAGGGGAGGATGTGGAACCCTCGGGCGATGACTATTGTAATTATTTGCCAGGACGGAAGTGTTCAGCTCGTGGGAGCGAGAGACTGCTGCCCGCCTGTTTAGTCGCTGTGATTAATAATGCTTAATTACAAGTATTTGCGTCGTGGCCCATGAAACGGGCAAGCGGAATTCACAGCGGGGCTTTACTGTACGGGCTGCCCCGAGTGCCGAGTGCCTGATGCCTGGAGCTGTGCGCTGTACGTTTGATTGATTACAACATTTTGTCGCACTAATGCCGAACGCAACAAGAGTCTTCCACTAAGCCTCTTGATAAGTTTTGCGTATACTTAACTTAGCACTAAAGATTAGTAGCGCTTAACGATTGATGGGGCAAGGGCTGACACCGCTGGAGAGGCGGGGGCGGGGGCGCGGCTAGTGCACTGAGTGCTGAGATTGGCACTCAGCGTGCCTTTGCCAAGCCGCCATTGCCTGCTTGAGGGCTAATCAACAATTAATGAGCAATTAATATGCAATTTAGGGGCGTTGCTTTGTTGCCCAGTGTGTGTGTGTGTGCGTGTGTGTGTGTAGGTGTGAGTGTGAGCGTAATCAAGCGTGCCTTCAATGCATAAACGAGTACACGCACACAATTCTGCTGCCCTACGTGCGCTTGTCACGCATTACGTATACGCCACCTGTTAATGAATTAAGCATCGATCATTCGATCAGCGCTATACATTGAATAATACTTTTAATTACTATTTATCCAAGCGCATCGCCACAAATTCAATGAAAACAAATGCCTGTAATTGAATTACGATAATTTGAGACTGAAAATTCTATGAATTCTATGAATATATAAATTGTAAAATTAAGTTGTATCAATTTAAATTGCTTCTTTATTTATTTTGCATTTGCATAAATACAATTTAAGCATAAAGTAACCGATTTATTTTTTATACATCTATTTTTATATATATGTGCTTTTCATTTAAATAAGTATAAATTATTTGTTGGCCCTCGGCAAATTACAAAATAAACGAAACGAATATATATTTTAATGTTTTATTCCCAAAAATAAATTCAAACTGTCATCTCATAAAAAAATTCATTTGAAGCGAACGCAAACACCAAATTAACCTTTCCGCCCTTTGGTCAACTTGCAAACAAATTAAAACAACATTTGCAGCTGCTATTTTCTTTTTTTCGTTCTTTTTTTTTCAAATAATTATTATTTCAGCTGTGGTTAAGTTAAGTTTTGTGTGCGCCGCCTCCATGATAGATTAAGGCAGCAAAGCACGTGCCTCTAAGCTCTAAATAATGGCAATCATAAATCACGGCAATTGGCCTTGTCAAAAGCCGAATATAATAGCTAATGCTAAAGCCACACGCAGCACTTGTCGTTCAGCCCGAGAAGCTTCATATTACCTTTAAAAAAGACGGAAGAAAAAAATTGGGAACAATATTTTCTACTTGTTGTGGCCCACATCATGAAGTCCTTAGAGAGTCCTTAGAGACGAGGAAAATATTAATATATTCGCTAAAAAATATATATACAGCAGAAATTGATTTTATTATGTAACAGATAAAACATATGTAGTTTGTTTTGTTTATATTATATATCTATATTCTTTTAAACATATAAATTATAGTAAGATGAATTTATTGTTGTTACTTTCACGCACTGAACCAACAATCTTAATCAAATATGAAAAACATGAGAATTAATCAGCTAAAACAAAATTATGTTATATACTATAATACATAATCCAGATATCTCTGCACAAAGAGAAACGCAGAGATAAGAGTGAAATAAATTAAATTCATATGCATGTCCGAATAACAGAATCGCTTTGAAGGATTATTGTCCAAGAGTTTATCATACAGAAATAAATACTTTTTTTTAACAAAGAAAATCATATTAAATAAATGGAAATAGAGATGAATTTTCATTTCATATGTAGGAAAAGTCCTTTTAAAATATTTCGACTGTATTTATAAATGTTTTCTAGTCGAATTCATAAATACAATATAAACTTTTTCTCATTAGCCAAATTTTGTTTAGAAATAGAAATGAAAACAAAATTTGAGCTCAAACGTAGCTTATTCTGGAGCAACTTTCCTGCTCGCATTCGCATCCAGAACGATTTGAAGTCCTTCATAAGCTGATCAAATAGTTAACTGAATGTTCACACACATTCGTGCAACACTTCGATGCAATTTTTGCAGTTGAATAAAATCAAACCGAAGCACGTAGACCCATTAAGCCGCTCTCCTCTCTCTCTCTCTCTCTCCCAGTTGGCCCCATCCAGAGCCAACAAAGCCAACAGTTGTGCATAATTAAATGAAAAGAAAAATGCATATTTGTGGCTCGCTACTGCAGGCTGTGCATTAATTCGATTGTTTTCTTTTTTGCTTCTTCTTGTATTTCTGTTTTTGTTTATGGGGCAATTAGCAAAGTTTTCTGGCTGGCTGCATGAGAAGCATAAAAAGTGTTGCCAGCCCAACTCTGCATGTGTGTGTGTGTGTACGGGTGTGTAAAGTGCATGCTGCTTGTGCCATGTAATTGAATATTAATCATACGCCAGTGACGACCATAACTCATACGACACGTTGGCCCCGGCAGGTAACGAGACTCGTTCAATGCCATAAAAAAGGGGAATTGCTGCTCAATACTTGTGTGGCTTTGTCTGTGTGCGCGTGTGGGTGTGTGCAGCATTTATGTATGCAACAGCGAACGCTTAAAAAATATGCAACAACAACAACAACAACAATAAAGACAACTGCTCGTGTCACTGTAAGGCACGGAACGAGAGCCATAAATAAATTTGCTCATATTTCAGCACATGAACAATAATTAAATTCGTTCATATATCGTGCACATGGGAGATGCTAACCATGGCCCCCCTCTCTGCCCCCGCTCCCTGCTCCTGCTCCCCACCATTTAACTCCTTCAAATTCCTTTTTTCGCGCTGTTGACATTCATAATGGAAATGAATGCTGATGCAGCAGCTGCAA